TCTCGGTCCTCGGCCAGTCTCGCGGATGGAAGGATGTCGGTTGTCTCAAACCGTGCGTAGAAGGTGTTGAGGTCATCAGGTAGAGAGTCGGCGGGCTGATCATCACTGCTATTTCTCCCTTTATAGCCWGTGATGTGTCGCAGGCCACCCCACAAGCGTCGGTGTAACAATCCTCAACCAGGCAGAGACTCAGTAGCAAAGAAAGCGAGTGAGGCAGAAAAATAAAGTATTAAATAAAACTTTACTTAGTTGTCCAGAGAACAAGTCCATACAGGGAACAGGCAGAAAACGAATGTCATAAATCCAAGCAGAGTCCAAAAACCAGGTAGTCCAAACACAGAAGAATTCGCTGGAGAGCATGTACACACACAGGAGACAATGTCAATCTGGCAGAGGGTGAGGGGAAACACAGGGTTTAAATAGGGAATGCTTAATGACAACAAGGTACAGGTGTGTGGGGAAACCAACAGGAAGTAAAGCTAGACACAAGACACAAGAACCCAGACACCAAAATAAAACAGGAAGTGAACTCAAAAACAGACACATGCTGAACAGATCGTTACAGTACCTCCCCCTCAAGGGACGGCTCCCGACGTCCCCGGTTGGTCCGGGTGACGCCGGTGGAAATCTCTTATCAAAGTTTTAGAACAAATGTCCCTAGAGGGGACCCAGGACCTCTCCTCTGGCCCATAACCCTCCCAGTCCACGAGGTACTGAAGTCCACGGCCCCTGCGGCGGGACCCCAGAAGACGCCTTACAGCGTATGTTGGCCCCCCATCAATGACCTGGGGGGGTGGAGGGGGTCTGGTGGGGGGAACCAGCGGACTGGTCCTGACGGGTTTGACCTTGGACACATGGAAGGTCGGATGGACCCTCATAGWCCTAGGAAGCTCGAGCTGCACCGCCACAGGGTTTACCACCTTCGTGATGGAGAACGGACCAATGAATCTGGGTGCTAACTTGCGGGACTCCAGGCGTAGAGGAAGATCTTGGGTTGACAACCAGACTCTTTGGCCAACCTTGTAGTGTGGAGCTTGAGAACGGCCCTTGTCAGCCACACGTTTGTATTTGCTGGAGGTGCGGAGGAGCGCCGCCCAGGCTCTCCTCCAAGTGAGTTGGCAGCGGCGCACCAAGGCCTGAGCAGATGGAACTGTAATCTCCTCCTCAAGCTCAGGAAACAGGGGTGGCTGATATCCAAAAACACACTGGAACGGAGAAAGTCCTGTGGCTGAGACAGGGAGAGAATTGTGAGCGTACTCAATCCAAATCAAATTTTTGCTCCAAAGGGAAGGATTTTGTGAAACCACACAGCGGAGTCCTGTCTCCATCTCCTGGTTGTAACGTTCAGTCTGCCCGTTCGACTGGGGGTG